GTGGTGCTGCTCCCTACCTTTATGAGCAGGAGAACAAGCAGAGCCAATAGCTCTAAGTAAGGCCAGCAAGATTCTGTTATCGAAAAAGAGAAAGACTTGAGCTGCATTTCACTTCCACAAAGGGGGCGGAGGAGAAAAAACGAGAGCAAACACAGCTACTCCCTTATCCCCGGATTCTCCTCTTCTACTGGACTTGAGCTTGCCCACAACTGGGAGGGGAAACATCCTCGCTGCACGGCGTGCACTGAGAACAGGGAGAGGAGTCAAAGCACAAACACCACTCTGCTTTAGCAGTCCGCGAATCTGAATATTACCCTGGCAAATGGGGAGAAGGTTGAGTCTAGCCACACAAATTTGGTCATGATTTGCTGCAGACTCTGAAAACATGAAAAATTCTATTTTGCAGCCAGTCCGAAACAGAGCTGTACCTCTGTGGTGCGTCACCTGCAGGGCTGGCCCTCTGTCTTTCCGTGTTTTCTCCCCCTAACTCATTTACTGTTTTATTGCTCATGTTTGCTGGAGGATATACAAGCAACTAGAAACTCGCAAGTCCATCTAAATCTTGTATCTAGAGATAAGGGCTAACTTACTAACAGAGGGCCAAATGCTTGCCCTCGTTGGTGTTTAGTGCTTACTGAGCTCTCAATGTTTATTACTGCTCCCAATACCCCCGCAAACACTGTGATATACACAAACTCTTAAATCTTTAGGGCTTTTACAGCAGCAGTTACCCCCAACTTGGGGTTAGGTTGAGGTTGGAAGGCACCTCCGGAGATGGTCTACTCCACACCCTCCACTCCAAGAGGGGGCAGCTAGAGTAGGCTGCCCAGGACCATGTCCAGTTGAGTTTTGAATATCTCCAGGAATGGAGACACCACAACCTGTCGGGGCGACCCGTTTGACCACTGTCAACGGGGGGGGGGGACAGAATTTCATTTCCATTTCCACTCTTCCTAAAGCAGTCCAGCAGGCCACTGGCCTTCTTTGCCATCTTTGCATTGCTGGCTCTCAGTGAACTCGTTGTCCACCAGGACCCCAACCAGGGCCTCAGCAATGCTGTCCAGCTTTGCTGATCTAAGGATGCAAGAGAAGCAAACTTCATAGAAAGAGGTATTATCTGTTAGTAGACCAAGTTTCAAAGCCAGAAAACGCAGAAAAGAAGAATCCCAATAGTGAATGAAATTAAAATGCCATCAACTCAGGAGTTCAGAGGAAATAATTTCCAAGGAAACGTGCTGGTAACCCGTGGAACGCTGCCCAAGACACTGCTGAAGCAACAGCACAAGCTTCACAAACTATCCAGAGCCACGCCAATGAGCAGGGAAAGCTTCTGCGGCTTTTCTGAGGGGAATGCAAATCTAAGAAGTAGAAATCCTTATCCTGCGAGACAGGCTAGTGGCTGATAAACTGCCTAGACAAAAGGCCCAGTTCTGTTGCATTAGGCTTTCACACTCAAGCCAAAAGCACCACCTTCTCCTGTACGAATCCACAACATCGTCCTCTCTCAAAGGAAAGGTCTTGCACTTGATAGACTGCTAGCCTCGCCTTTAAGGCAATTTCTGTGCTACTACTGCCTTTACTGGTTCAGGCCCTCCACTTTCATTACAGCAAGGAACTAAATCTGTTATTCTTAAGCAACACTATGACTATCACTGCCATTTGCCACTGGAATAACCGAACTAGCCACCACGCAGCGCTCTGCCTGCCCCGGCCCGGGCCCGTGAACTGGGAGGGAGCGAGGAGTCGCACAAGCGGAGCCTCTCTGTGCAGCAGCCAGCTGGGGAAAGCACGTGCCAGCTTACCCCACACTGTTAGGAGCCGCCATGCTACGGAGCTGCTGATAGTAACCGTTTTCAAAAGACTTTTCACCGTTGACAAGGCCTGTTTGTTCTGCCTGTTCTTAATACACGTACACGTTTTTTGCTTCTACATTATTACTTAAGATACATATGTGAGCTGCTTCGCTAGCAAAGGCTGTTCAAATTATCTTCAAACCATTTGGACGAGCATACATTTACCAAGATTACAGTGTATTTGCATAGGTGCAGATTTAGTCCTGTTACGACTATTTCATTAAGCCCTTGTTTTAGCAGTAGCATTTAGCTCCTACATAAATCCCCAGTTATTCAGATAAACACATAGGTAAGGACACATATGTCATAAAGACAGATGCAGTGATGCTGATCAGAGCAGTTGCACCTTGGCATCATTAGCAAGGTGGCCCGTGGCAAAGGCGGCGAACCATCCCCCGGGGATGCATTAGCAAACGCGCAGCGAGTACGGAGGGAAGCGATTCTCCCCCCTCTGTTTAGTGCTTGTGCGATCGCATCAGTTTGGGGCTCCCCAGTACAAGACAGGCATGGGCATACTGAAGCATGATGGTCCAGCTGAGGCCACCAGGATGGTGGGGGAGTGCAGCACAAGACATGCGAGCAGGTGCTCAGGGAAATGGGTTTATTCAGCCTTAAGAAAAGGCTTGGGGTGATCTTAGTCTTGTCTTCAACTACCTGCAGAGAAGACAGAGCCAGACTCTTCTCAGAGGTGCACAGTGATAGAATAAGAAACAAAAGCTCAAGCTACTACTAGGGAAATTCCAGGTAAGTATTACGACAAAATTTTCCCCCTGAGGGTGATCAAACACCAGAACAGGGCACAGAGAGACTGTAGAACCTGCATCTTTGGAAATTACTCAGAGCTCGGCTGGCCAAGGCCGTGAGCAACATCATCTAGTGGGACCTGCTTTAAGTAGGAGGTTAGCCTGAGACCTCCAGAGGTCCCTTCCAATCTGATTGATTCTTTGATTCCTTGTGGTCTTCAGAGATCTAGCGTTGCTGGAAAAGCCAGCATATGAGTTCACTCTGATCATGTTTTAATCAGAATTGCCAATCTAGATAGGGGAAGGGTTTGCTCTTCCTCAAGAGGATCTTCTAAAGAAGACAGTGTTAAGGGGTCCATCCTGTTAAGAGCTACAGTGAAACTAATAGGGTAGTGGCAATCAACCTCTACGAATTATCTGGTCCCGAGACAAGGAACAATTTGAGATTGCATTCAAAACCAGGACATATTAAGGTTTCCACTGTTGAAGAGCTGAAGAATTCACAGTCAGCGTAAAACACACCAAGTAGTCCACAGGCAGACGTGGCAAACATGCCTCTGCCACTCCTATTTGGTGACCTAGGGGATCCTCTGGATACCGGTCTAGACGAACATCTGCAAGTGGCTGAAGTTGCCCAAAACTGGCAGTGCTGGTGTTCTTCCTGGCAGATAAATAATACGAAAAGGAATGAAATTCTATCCTGGCTTTGAAAACATCCAAGAAAATCAAAGGAATTTCTTCCCACTTGCTCTCTCCAGCTGATTGCCCTACTAATCAGTAACAATACATGGATAACACATTACAGGCAACAGGAGATAACTCTGGGAACACAAGTTCTGATAAATATAGCTGAAGAACCACTGCCAGCAGGCATCAGCAAAATTGAATTCCACTGTAAATGTTAAAATGTGTGACCAGATGCTGGATTTTTACCGCTTGTAAACTCCAACAATAAGCAATTTCTTCCATCCACTCAAGAGTAGAGCCAATCACAGGACAACTAAGTAGTAGGAAACAGATACATCCAGCCAAAACTTATCTACATTTAGTGTAAATCAGATACAGCTGTCAGCTTTCTGGCAGGTGGATAAGACACTCTTTGGTGCCACGGCAGTCGACATGCCTACCACACCATGCTTGGTGCTTCTGTACCTTGCAACGTCTAAGCGCCTGGCTCTCCAGGCTTCACAACTTACTCAGTGCCTAGACAGCTATATAGTCGTGGTTGCAGTATAAATAACGCAAAAAGGTGAGCTATAAACCATGCATACATCTTTTAATGTAAAATCTTACCCTACTGGGTTATCGATTCAGGAACAGATATCAGGAACAGAAAAATTTACACTTGCTCAAGACTTACTATGATCAAATCCTTTGCATAGCCCTTCCCCGTTTCTCTTTAGAATGATTACTTGATGTTTGATTTTTCCTAAGACGTTTTTTGCTTTTAAAACTGCTAGAAAATCCATACCAACTTTCCATTCAAAAGCATTTAAATGAGCTGAGCTACAGATCCAGGGGAAAGGGAGACCTACTCTAGAAATACTGAGAGATTGTTAAATATAGAGCTCCTGGCAAATAATGTTTTCCAGTAGCAGAAAGACTTGTCAAAGTTACGGGGCCTTTTCTGTTGTTGTTTTTTTTAAAAAAAAATACACATCATGTATCTTGTGGTCATGTCCCCGACAGTGCTTTCAACTTTCTGCTCAGCAGCACCCTGGCATTTCTGAATTAACCCTGAAAAAAATGGAGCATAGCTCAAGCAAATACTACACAAAACAGACTTCCTGAAAAAACAGCATTTTGCAGCCAAAATGTATGAATTTAAGGATTAAAAATCCTTGGGATTGCTGCTTGCTTTCTCGGTTTTTTGAGAGTTTCTCCTCCTCCCCTTCTTTATGAAAGCACCGTAACAATTTTTTCCTCTTGATAAGCTCTATAAAACATACATCACTAGTGCTGCATGCTCGGTGCTGGATTACTGAATGTACGTTGCCTCTTAGGATACTTTCTGAGAAAGAAGCCACAAGGCATTTGGAAGAATATGCTGTATATCTACATTTGACTCCCTCCACAATGGATTTACAAAGCATGGGATTTGGGAATAAACAGGTTCTGCATATGGAGCCATCGAGTTTCTCCTGCTCGTACATGCCTGTACGAAGGATTACAAGCTTTCACATGGCTTTCATCCCCAAAGCCCCTCCACAGCGATTGCCTCATGCCCACACATTTCCTCCACCACCTTGCCTACCACTCTCCTCTGTAAATTACACCTCATATAAACATCGATGGGGTACTTGCAAGTGCCACATGCTCATTTTCTCCTCCCTGCCTAATACAATTTTTTTTTCTCCCAGCAAACATACAGAAGGGACAGGAAAAGCAAAATAGGAGATCTTACCTTTTGATGGTCGTCTTTGTTTCGTTTGTAGAGAAGAGAACGTACCCATTACAGCACCCATTGCAAAAGCTACTTGCGAGTTTTTGGGGGAGGATTTATTTTGGCTTTTTTGTTGTTGTTGTCTTTGATTCTTCTCGCACCCCCCCAGCCCCCCACCACCAGTGAGCAAATCTATTTGAAATGCCCACTAGAACAAAACAAAAAAAGAGGAAGTCAAGAGAAGAAAGAAAAGAAGAAAGGAGGAGGGAAAAAGCAAAGCACTGCAGCTCAGCGTTCAGCAAGCGTTAAGCTTTGAGGGTTTTTTTTTTTTTTTTTTAAGTCAACACACATGCACTGACTCACAGCCGGCTGCACTGTTATTATTCAAAACAGCTCCCCATCAAAATTTAAATGCTAGGTAGATTCCCTCAGACCAGAGCTGGCAGCAGATGCATCAAAATATTTACTGGAGCAGAGCCACAGAAACACACAGGCTAATTCTTCCTCTCGTTCCCTTATGGCTCCAACCAGCAGCCTGTAGGTCTACGGGGAGAGCATCAGTGCCGCTCTCCCAGCGCATACTAAAGCGGAGTTGTGTAGACGTGGCGAGGGGCGAGGGGGGTTTGGGCTCAGCACCAATTCTGAATGAATGAAAACCTTCTGATAGCCAACTAGCCGTCAAAGCCACAGCTGCCTGGACTGCATGCGCCTGCTAATTAGGAGTCTCGCAAAAAGGTAGGAGACGGCATTCGCTGAAATTCTTCGCAAGCATAAAAGTCGGGGATGAAAAGAATAAGTGCAGCCGGGAAAACAAGATAGAAAAATTTCACCATTATGCTTTTCTCTGCATGCTTTCTCGCCCACCAGAAGCACGTGCAAGACGCCTGATAATAACTTATTTCTCTGCAGAGTATGTATGTGCACATCCCTTTTTGGATATTAAAACAGTAAATTGCTGAAATGAAATTCTGCAAGTGTCAGATCGCTCCGAGGAGGTAGGACAGCTCCCTGTATTTTATTCAGTACTTTGATATTTCAAAAAAATCAGCCGTATCCCTTGTGCTCTCTTTTCAGAACGTGGGCAATACAAAGCGCTCGGCCACAGAAAGGGTTAAACAGAATGAGATAGCTGTCAGAAGCAGAATTAATTTGCTCTTTGCACATGGTGACTTAGATCAAGGCAGCATCTGTGCAAATACTCCATTTGTTTGAAGAAATTCATTCCTACACCAGAGACCAAAGCACCTTGTCTCAACAGGTTTCCTCAGCTTTTCTTGAACTTTGGAGTAAAGATTTCATCAACTACACATCCCAGAGCCTCAGAAAAACAGAAGTCCCAAATCACCCTTTTCCCCCCAAAGATAAAGCCGTCCATCAGCTCCTGCCCGCGCAGCACCAACGACGCTTCCTCTGTGCGCACACATGTATTCGCAACCCTTGTGTCTACCAGCAAACAGCTTTCAAGCAGTTTCTAGTTGCAAAACCATATGGCATTGAGCAAAATGCTTTTTTTTTTCTTGTTTTACAACTTAAAATAGAGCAATTGGACTTTTTGGGAGGGATGTTAGCAGTAGGATAACGTTTAGATGCCAAAGTGCTGAAGAGACACGTATCTCTTTCTAGGCACGTGCAGAGCACTCAGGACTTGGGGACACATTGCTGCCTCTGCTAGCGTGGGGGAAGCGTGGCTGGTGTGCGGAGGCACGGGCGCACCCCACATCCCTCTGGCACGCTGCCCCGGAGCCAGACCCGTCCCTCGTTGGACAGGCTGCTGCCCCGATCCGGATGGGCAGCATCTACCTTTGTGTTTCCACCCCGCGAATCTCTACGAGGCACTGAAAAGTGGTGTGAGATTAAGGTCTTTTTGTTTACATATTTCTGTTACCTGTTTTATGACTATTTGATTTGGGTTTACACCTTAAAATACTGCATAGGCTACAGCAAGTAAACACAAGCTACCGCTCTCAGTATTTCTGCATATAGCAAAGGCGTCGGGAGGCTCCGCGGCCTCACGCCAGCGCTCCGTGATCGCCCCCAGCACCCTGCGGAGGGAAGGGGGGAGCCCGGCCACCCCCCGAAGCTGCAGGGTCAGGCATGAAGAGAACCCACCTGGGAAGAGTAGAGGAGCATAGCCCACGGACAGGACAGACACACTCAGCGGCACAACGGATGCTGTTAGGAAATTGTGTGACCAAAGTTAAAAAACAAACAAACAAACAAGTATTGGTGGCAGTCAAGTCAGCGGAAAACAAAGTATTCATTTGCTACCACCAGGAGCAACAGTTGCCACCGGGATGCTCTGCTCCCCTCAACCCTCTCCTGTCGGGCACGATGTCTCCAAGACATAGAAACCAAATGAAAGCCTTCTCCATCAGGGTAAATCTGTCGCTAGCAGAAGTCAATGAGCAACAGCTCCGGTCAAATCACCCACTCACAAAACCACGTCACTTGACTCTAAGCCATGCACTAGGAAAAAACCGTTATACATGTAGAAGCTCTAAAGTCAACGATCACAAAGAACTAAATTGATTAGAAAGATATAAAAAACCAAACAGAAATTAACTGGCTTGAGAATGTTCCCTGACATCCCTTGGATCCTGGCCATGACAAAACAATTTGGACTGGGAGTGACAGCTTAGCTTACCCATATGGCGAGATACCTAGATAAAAGTAAGTTAGGGAGATAAAGTTGCAACCCTGATGCCACGCTGTTACCTACTTGAAATAACATGGTAAATGCAGGCGGAGGGCAAGCGTGAATATTCAGTTTTCTTTGAGACTTTGAAGAGAAAAGATTCTTCTTGGCTAGAAACCGATACTGAAAGAACTCTGTGAAATCTTAGGGATAAATGATTACATGCATTTTTTTGTTGTCATGACTAGAGCGTGCAAGAACGAGGACAAGAGGAAGGACCATACCTGTGCCTGGGCAAACGGGTACGGAATCCCAGCTTACTAGTTCAAAAACAGCCTAAAATCAGGATCTCTGAGGAACACAAGCATCTTAAATACTAATGAAATAGTATATTTGATACAGCAGGCAGAAAATTTCTTCCCGAGAGGGTAGCATCCAAATATATCAGCCTAAAAGATAATACCTTGCTGGAGATGGAAAAAATCACAGAATGGCTGAGGTCGGAAGGGAACTCTGGAGATCATCTAGTCCAACCCCCCTGCTCAGGCAGGGTCCTCTAGAGCACATTGCTCAGGATCACATCCTGGCTTTTGAATATCTCCAGGGAAAGAAACTCCACAACCTCTCTAGGCAACCTGTTCCAGGGCTCAGTCACCCTCACAGGAAAGAAGTTTTCCCTCATGTTTAGATAGACCTTCCTGTGTTTCAGTTTGTGCCCATTGCCTCTTGTCCTGTCACGGGGCACCACGGAGAAGAGTCTGGCCCCATCCTCTTGACACCTTCCCTTCAGATACTTGTACACATTGATCAGATTCACCCTCTGCCTTCTCTTCTCCAAGCTGAACAGGCCCAGCTCTCGCAGCCTTTCTTCATAGGAGAGATGCTCCATCCCTTCATCATCTTTGTAGCCCTTTCCTGGAGCTCCATGTCTCTCTCGTACTGGGCAGCCCAGAAGTGGACACGGTACTCTAGGTGAGGCCTCACCAGGGCTGGGTAGAGGGGAAGGATTACCTCCATCAACCTACTGGCAAATACTCTTCCATATGCAGCCCCAGGATACCGTTGGCCTTCTTGGCCACAAGGCCACATTGCTTGCTCATGGTCAACTTGTCCACACCAGCACTCCCAGGTCCCTCTCTGCAGAGCTGCTTTCCAGCAGGCCAGCCCCCAGCCTGTACTGGTGCCTGGGGTTATTCCTCCCCAGGTGCAGGACCCTGCACTTGCCCTGGTTGAACTTGATCAATTCCTCTCAGCCCATCTCTCCAGGATGTCGAGGTGCCTCCGAATGGCAGCACTGCCTTCTGGGGTATCAGCCACTCCTCCCAGTTTTGCATGAGGGTGCACTGCCCCTTCATCAAGGTCACTGATGAGTAAGTAAGTTGGACGATATCGGACCCAGAAATGCTGATAGTCACCTCTACATCAGTTGTTGAATGTTTTGCACAGCATTTTCATTAGAGATAGATGAAGATCGAGCTTTGACTGGGATGGTGAAACTCACAGTTCTAGCTGCATGGGTATCTATGTTAACATCCAGGCTAAGAGCTGCTGTCATAGGATCAAAAGTACTTTGGGGAGCGAAGACAATATATTGCACTGAATGTGACTGCAGTCATGCTAATTTATTTACAGCGCTCTGATTCATAAGCAGGGCTCCAGATCTCCGCAGCCGCTCGCTTTTCATCATGGGGTTAAGCCCAGGCTACATGTGTTTTGGCCCCTCACAGCGCGATTCACGCAAGCTGTCAAGCATTTGTTTGCACAGCTGAAAATATGTATCGTTTAATGCCTGAGCCATGCTGCAAGCCACCTGCGTTTCCAGCAGAAGTTACTGGCCAGGTGACTTTCATGCATATAGTCCCTATCCCTTCCTGCCAGGCACTGCTGCAAACAGAAGAGTCCCGCCGTGGGGAAAGAGCCCATGAGCATTTCACCGAGCAAGAGGATACCCGCAAGGCACGCATGGACAGGGGCGGGAACGGCGAGGACACAACAGCATGCAAAAGCTGATCTAAGTTTGCCCCTACTCCAACAAAGGTCTCTGTATTTATGGAACCTCGCACTCAAGCCTGGGTGCTAATCACCCAGGCTAAAACTGCATGGTAGGCATATTCCCAAAGGTCATTACTCATCTATCACAACTGTCTGCCAGCAAACAAACCTCATGCTACCATTTTACCGTTACTATATATATATATCTCATACTTTATAATAATAATAAATTCTGTCTACTGACTAACAAATTCATGACTTAATACTATTCTTTCCAATCCTTTAATACCAATCCTTTCTCTGATTTCAGTACACCTCAACTCTGTTTTATTGCTTTTAGTATGTAGTCTCTGAGACTTCCAAACATCAGAGCAAAGTCAACAGACGGACACTGGCAGCAAAGTCGTTGCTAGTTTGTTGGATGTAGCCAGAAGGCTTGGTTACAATAAGCGGTTTGTTACTTTTAATAAATGCAAATATACTATTTTCAGTTGGGGAGTCAAATCAACAGCTAGCTGATAGTGGTACGCTGTGGAAAATTGCTCCGGGCAAAGTCAAAGGAATTAAGTCAAAAGTCACACCTCTGCTCCCCATTGCAGCATCAGATCCTTTTCCCGCTAAAGATAAGTGGTGCTATCTGGAGC